ATATATATAGTGTTAGCAGTAATATATTATTGACCTCTTGATAGTATTGAGAGTATTTTTATATTTTATCACTTTATTAATTTTTAATATATATTATATAATAATTATGACATAACTATGACAACATTAGGCTATTGTTTATTTGTGTTTTAAATAATTTTTTAATCAAAAACACGTATGAAATTATTTTAGTGGTAAGCTTTATATAAAACAAAGCAGAAATTCTATATAAAAATAACATTAATAACAATAGTTCTAAAAATTAAAATGGGTTCCTAATTAAAAGTACATTTTGTAAATGATACAAATTACGCACATTGAGTATAAATCTTTCTTGATCTGAAACAATTTATTTATTTGACTTAATTGCACAGTTAGTCACTAAATTATCTTAATTATACAATTTCACTCTTTCAAATTCTAATTATGCCCTTTAATTATTATAATTTATAATGTGACATTGGATGATAAAGTGATAAATGTCGTGTGGTCTAACAATACTTTAACATGATTTATACTTCATAATTACAAAATTATAGGAATAAAAATTAAGTCATATAAGGACATATATATCAGTTACATTAACAAAATATGTTAAATAGGATACAACATGTCGTTATCTATTGCTATGTCAACATAATATGGTAAAAATGATATCAATATATCATTATCTAATGCTATATGTGAATAAAATATGTTAAATATGATATGAACATGTCATGGTCATGCAGTGCTATATAACAAAAATATGTTAATGAAAAATTGATGAGTTATAAACTCACAGAATTATAATAATTAAAAAAACTTAATTCACCCAATTAAAATTTAAGATATTAAATTATACAATTATAATACGTCACTTACAAAAGTGTAATTAAGTTAATAATTTATTTATAATAATTTCCAAAATAAATTATGATTGTGAAGACTGAAGGTCACTAATGTCAGAGTCTGATGCAGTGGTCAAAGAAGGAAGTTGGAAGTACTAGCTGTTTCTCGCGTGGTCCTTTTGGCATAAAAAAACACTGCCTTGGAAAGGTTATGAAATCGTACCCAACTAGCATTTGAGCCCACCACCACTTAGTGTAATTTTCAACACCCTCTTTCCATGTGACAGTCGCATGGAGACAGTCATACAATTTGCAATACTCATTTATTAACTTAGCTCTATATAGTTAGGTTCCTGATCATCGTTAGTCTCGGCCCTCCCTAGTTTTAGGTTGGTAGGCAAGATTTAGAATTTCAACACCCACAATTGATTAACCATGATATCCACACCAAATATCTTCTCTCTAAAATAGTGATTAATTTTAATCCAAAAAGTGTATAAAAATGAGTATTCTTCTTACAATATAATATATTTCATTTCAAAGGTTAAGATTTAAATCCTAAATATCTTGAGTAAGTGGGTTGGATTGACCTGAGTTTGGATAAATTTGTTATCCGATTCGATCAAAATTTAATGAATTAGGTTAGGTCTAGTTTGTGCATTTTTTTTTAAAACCTAACCCAACTTAACTCAATCATGAATGAGTTGAGTTGGATTCGGTTGATTGGGTCAACATAATCATATTTATTTATTTTTTTAATAAAAAATTAAATATTTTAAAATAGGGTAAATTATTTGATACATTGTTGTAAATACAATTTTATCAACTTATAAAGCAAATAAATACAAAATAAACTCAAATAAATTTTTTAATTTATATCTTATTATCAACTCAAAAAATCAATATTAATTAAAATAAAATAAAATTTAAAATAAATATGTAATTATATTATTACAATGATATCAATCTAAAAGTACAAAATTTGTTACTGAATAAGAGCGATAACGAGTATTATCTTAAATATGATTAATAAAATTTAAAATAAATATGTTATATTGTTACAATATTATCAAACTAAATACACAAAACTCATTACTGAATGAGAGTGATAGTAAGTAT